TTGTGTGTGTGTGTGTGTGTGTGTGTGTGTGTGTGTGTGTGCGTGGGTGGGTGTGGTGGTAGTAGTATATATATATATATATATATATACTGTGTCTCATATATGTATTTATACGTCCATATATCTACCACAGTCCGCTTTCGAGAACAGAATATACAGTTTGAAAATCCACTGCGGCCCGGAATACCCTGACAAGCCCCCAACTGTCCGATTTCTAACCAAAGTCAACCTCAAATTCGTGGCAAGCGACGGACAGGTAAGTTTTACTTTCTTGCTCTATTGAATACTCCACAATTGGGCACAATATAATATATTACTTATAGCACTTGTTTGTATTTTGTTTTCCTTATCACCTGTACCTGCTACTATTTGGTAGAGTCATAGGGAAGTTGTCTCTTACTCTAAAGTACTTTAATGTCATTCGAAACGCTGAACATAGATACTGGTATCCAGAGTTTGCCCGCGCGCACTTCGCATTCGTGTATTTGCATTCCCGATTGTCACTTGCGCATTTAAATTGTTCTTGCACTTTCGATATACCTTTAGGTGAACATGAGCAAGTTGAAAAGATTGTCGCCTTGGTCGCGGAATTTCAGAATGGAGGATACCCTGAAAGAAATCAGAGAGTAAGTATTTGTATGCCCTGAATATACTCCAGTAGGCTGTCTACTTATCGGTTTTATGAACTTGTATCACGGCCCTTGCTTATTATATTTCGCTTCTTGTACTTTGCTTTTTCTATCTGCAGTAATATGGTGTCACGAGAGAACGCTAAGTTGTCCCAACCCGCGGAGGGCACGATGTACTAAAATTAAAGTAAATTTAAGTTTTCGCTGGCGACAAATTTCCTCCTTTACTTTCATTACTCTAAAAGAATTTTGCTTCTCAAATACGAGTGGAGTGCAGCATGTTATCAAGATCTATATTCAAACTTAACATCGCTGATGATCATGTTTGCAATCTCCTGATTGCAACTTTTTATTTGCATTCATGCAAGAATGTCCCAGTGATTGATGTTATAGTTATCTAGAGTGTATCAGAAAGTATACAATGTAAGTTTCATTTTACGGTATATAGAATACAATGTCATTCCGCGATTATCACATTCCTTTGTAATTGATTCGGGCTCGTTTCCTTCCGCTAGTTGTAGATTGCACTTCTGGATACACATCCTTCGTATCAGAAGTATGAAATACCGCTATCGCCTCATCACTACCAGATGTTTTAGGAGTCATTGTTTGTTTTTCATCTTCCGTCGATTGGCTTTTTGGAGCGGACTTTACGCGCTTTTTAGCCGTGGTTGTGCTGATCGCTGCACGGTGAAATTCGACTTCAATTATGCCGGATTTTAATTTGTTCTCCCTGTAGTGTTAGATATGAGAAATTGTTCGTCATATTATTGATTTGATGCGAGCATGTCGTTTCTTAAAATTGCGTGAGAGTTTGCCGTAGTAGGCCACATTTACCGATTTTGTTCTACAATTGAGGTGCTTTTGATGAAATCCTTAGAAGAAAACACGCATACCGCACGAATCTCCACTCGTCGTTGCTTCCTTTAAAATCTTGCAAACCTTCCGGTGTGACAACTCGACTGCATATTATATGGCGCACCATTGCGCCTCTGGCTTCTTTCGCAAACACACTTGGACCCGGAAGAGAGATTGAGTAGATGGGGTAGTCCAATGCTTGCTGAAAATACATGGGGGGAAAGAAGCACATATTGTTGAGGGTATATTGAAACTGGGGTAGTCCAATGCTTGCAGAAAAAACATAGAGGAAACGAAGCACATATTGTTGAGGGTATATTGAAACTGGAGTAGTCCAATGCTTGCAGAAAAAACATAGAGGAATAGAAGCACATATTGTTGAGGGTATATTGAAACTGGGGTAGTCCAATGCTTGCAGAAAAAACATAGAGGAAAAGAAGCACATATTGTTGAGGGTATATTGAAACTGGCGTATTTCATTAGAGACACGTATGTCTTTTTGGTTAAATTCGTGATGACTGCGTCACAGAGTCAATAGATGGCTTACCATGTTCACTGATTTAGAGTATTCTTGGCTTGCGCAATTAACTATGAACCGCTCTTCTTCAGGTAGACTCCCGACTACTTCGTTTACCATCTTGGTATTCATTTCAACCCAGAATTTATCCATGCCTAACAAAGAACACAGAGGAGGAGATGATTTTAGAAAAATTCATCAAATTGCCAGATATCAGGAAATTCCATATTAAAATGTTGCCTTGGTGTTTTCCGCGAGTGGGTAATTAACTAAGACAGTCTCGATAGTAGCGCGATAAGCAAACTCCTAGATTGTAATGACAATATGATTACATACCTACCTCCTTCTTTCAGTTTTTTGCTCATGTCCAATCTGTATGGCTTGATGTTATCTAGAGGACGAAGATGGCCATAGAGACCAGACATGATGCGTAAGCGATCTTGCATCCAATCCAAATCCTCAATCGACATAGACTTTGCCCCTAGACCCTTCGTTCCAGGTCAATTTGGTTGGAAAATGCGCGATGCTGATCAGATGAGAATATACTGGACTTTACGGGATAATAATATTACTATTGTGCAAATGTAATAGTTTGACCAACAGTATATGACAGAAGCCTGTGGGATACACACCTGGAAAGCGGGTCCATTTAGAGCAAGACACGTGGGTTTTGTTCCGGCCTCGTCCCATGCTTGGTAGCTGCACGTGTAAAAATATACAGAAGATATTGCAAAACAATAAGAGCGAGATTAAACCACTGCCATGCCTAAGATTCGGAGTTTATTTGAGTACCTTTGACACACGACTATTTTTAATCGAGAGAGTGCCGACAACTCCAATCTTGACCAACGATTCTGAACACACACATTGTACCCATTTCTCTTCGAATTAAGCTGAGAATTTCCAAGGAGCGTGGAAAATTTATATTCGAGCGTCCTTGATGAAGATGGATATACGCTGTCGCAGGAGATAGATAATTACATCGCTATGGTATGTAGTATATTTGGAAAGAACAATACTCAATTTTCCACTAAGGCACATATAAAGAAAGGTCTGTGATATTTATGTGTCTGACATAGTACGATTCCTAAAACTCGTAATTGAGAAATTATCGAACCATTCCAAGTATTACAAGGGCTTACCGGTCGTAGTTGAGTGCTGCGAGGGGCTCAGAGACGCCTAGCAGGGTTTTCACTTGCGACTTATTTAATTTTTTGAGTTCTTTTACCAACTTGTCTGCTATGCCTGAAGCGATATAGTTAACAATAGTCAATATACTGATGCTGCGCTATTTACACGCGCAGACAATTGAGCTTTGAATAGAAATACCATGTTAATAAAATACACACATAGTACAGTCGGTTTGTATGTACAAGTTAAAAAAACAAACACTGAATCTGTCCGCATCAAAAGCAGTGGATCAAGTAAAGTCGGGGAAGCGTGCTACAATGTTATTGAAGTCTAAAATTCGAGCCATCTGCGCTTCATGTGCTTCCACGTGTCAATTTTTCTATATCATAGGATGATCTGCAGCATGTATGCTATAGATGGTTCGTAGCGACCACAATAACGAATATTATAAAGCAGTCTGCTGATGTGCACATGCATAGTTATCTTCGATCTATGCACATATCTCAACTACAGACGATTCTGTACCTTCGTACACTGGTGAGGTTGTTGCAAGCTTTGCAAATGTGTGAGGGGAGAAGTCCAAAGCCTTCGCTGGCGAGAGAAGTATTACTGGCATGTTGAGCTATATCTTTGTGGTGGCCTATAAACACACTGATTATATCTGTGTGGTAAGTAGTCTATAACCACGCGCTGACCAATAACGTTTTTAAACGTGATCTGTGATATTCAAAAATATAGCAAAATTTTTGACCGATGTGAGGTGCAGAAAAAGCCCGCGAAAATCTCGTGACTTGAAAATGCACTCCAAACTCACCAAGAGAGAGACCTGAGGGCTGAGGCTGAAAGCACTTAACACTAAAATATATACAAAAATATAAAATATACACGCAGGTTATAAATATACGGTATTGTAGTACATGTATTACATGTAAGTACTCCTGGTGTATCCTCGTTGCCGGATTGACAAGCAAGAACTGACTACTAAGAATCCCCGGGGCAGTCTTACATTGTCGCATGTATCGTTGTGTATCAGTTGTGTATCAGTTGTGTATCCTCGGAATAGTGGGTGTGCTTTTAAAGTTTATTTCCACTATAAACAAACTTTTAGTATTGTACATATAGTTATTGCACTCGTAAGCAATTGCATCACGATGGCGAGAGATGACTACGAAAGTAAAGACAAACACGAGAGCAGACGTCGAAGGGACAGCGAAAGCAGCCGGGCGACTAGCTCTCGTAAGAGAGGCAGTGACCGTAGCAGAGATAAGAGGGATAGTGTATCCAGGCGAGATGGTCGAGAAGTAAGTCGAGAGAGAGGGAATGCAGATGGAGATAAGAAGAGACGGGGCGGGGACAGGGATGAGGTTAAAGATGATCGAGATGATCGAGATAAGGACAGGCGACATAGGGAAAGAAGCAGGGGCAATGAAAAGGAGGGGGATGATACAAGCAGGAGTAGGGACCATACCAGAGGCAAAGATAGAGATAGAGATAGAGATACCAATAGGGAGAAATACAGGGAAAGCAGGTCGAAGCATTCTAGCTCGCGTGTGAGATCTAAGTCGAGGTCACGGTCACCTATCAAGCGGAGTGATGATAGAAAAAGGTCAGTTAGTGGCGTAGAGATGTCGGAAAGTGAGGCAGACGCGGGGCTCAACGGAGCACAAGTACAGTCGCGCATACCTCTATCTCTTGGAGATCTGATGAAAAAGAAAGAGGAGAAAGAGCAGCTAGCGAAGCCAGTGTTTCTCACCAAAGCGCAACGGGCCGAGATTGCCCTCAAGAAACGGCAAGAGGAAGTGAAGGCACAGCGGGAGAAACAGGAAGAGCTCAAGCAAGCACACGTGGATCTGTTATCCAAGGCACGCGAGGAATACTCGGAAGTCACGGGTAGACGGGGGGGGGGGACGACCGGTACGACAGGGACAGATATCGCTCGAGGGATTACGGAAGGGATCGAGATAGAGATACAGACAGAGGTAGGGATAGATACAGAGACAGGGATAGGGATGGGGATGGGCGATCGCACAGAAAAGATAAGACTGACGGTGCTGGTACCAGTGAGGTGGACCGGGTGAAAGATCTGGCCGATTCATACAATATTTCACAGAAGGAACTCGAGGCTGAACAGAGGGCGATCAAGGAGAGGTACATAGGCGCGACCAAGCAGAAGCGCAGAGTCAGACGGATGAATGAGAAGAAGTTTACTTTCGACTGGGATGACGCAGATGATACAGGCGCAGACCACAACTCACTGTACAGCGATAGACACCATGTCCATGCCATGTTTGGTCGGGGACACATGGGTGGTATTGATGTAAGACAACAGCGCAAGGAAGCAGACGCCTTCTACTCAGACTTTCTGGGAAAGCGCCGCACGGGTATGTCTTTTCAGTATATTATGTATTTCATCATCCGGGTTCAAGATTATCCTGAGTACCATGCATAGCGACTATGCGTGCTATGTATATATAGTTTCGCACTACTACTTTGTTTGACTTGATGTGGTGAATTCACGTAGAGTTTGAATACATACGTATATGGAGTAAATGGATCTGCAATCATTGTACGATCGTATAAGTATATGCAGTTATTATCAAATCGAATGTGTGGCATTGTACTTATCCCTTCTTTGTATTTAGTGTGTTAGAAGACGAGGCGAGCTACTGTCAGGGCGTGCGTGCTGTTTTTCTGCTGTATTTGCTATTGCGACTACATCGCTTACGTGTTCTAGCCATCTACCTGCATTCAAATGAAGTAATGTGCACGATTGAACACTAGTTATCAATCCACTTTGTGGGTGGATGTACTGTTGCCTCGTGTGTATGCCAAACGAATATTCCCCGCATCATCCGAATGGCAAGGATTTGCTCAGCTGATACCATCCACCGTGAGTATTGACCTGAGGCAAGTACCAAAATATGTTCGAACTTCTTACTTATATTCTTGATGATTTTCATTGGAACTTTACCCTCTTCAATCACATTCGGCTTAGAATCATCTACAATATTTCACATGCTCTGTTCCTTGCCATCCAAGCCCCGCGTAAGGGGTTAAGATATAACGGGAGGTAGAGTGATTGTGGTTTTGATTCGAATCCAAACATGATTGTTATCAAGCATACTTTATAGAGTCTCGCTGTAAATCACGTCTAATTTTCACCGGGAGTAGCGAGGTGAGGTTCACAAGTACCGAAAAGACGTTTGGTCATCTTACATATATTCTTGTTGACTATTACAACACTCATTAGAAATTCGCCCTCTTTAACCACATACGTCTTAATAATCATCTACAATGTTTTACAGACTCTGTTCCTTGCCACGTACACCCCACTTAAACCACATACGGCTTAATAATCATCTACAATGTTTTACAGGCTCTGTTCCTTGCCACGTACACCCCACTTAAGAGGATCTTTTAGAACGGGAGGTAGTGCGGGTGTAGTTTGATTCGAATGTAAATATTCCTGCTAACAAACACAACACGATCGGTAGAGTGCCCCGCTGTTAATCACGTCTCATGAGTGGATCTGCAGTTTTGAACCTATCATGCCTCACCCCCGATACCCTTTCCACCTCAGACGACGAGAACTCGCGGGAAGTAGAGCGTGTGAAGGCTGCCGAGAACAAGGCGGCGAAGATGAAGCACGACGAACGCCATTGGTCACAGAAACCGTTGGCTCAAATGGCCGAGAGAGACTGGCGTATCTTCCGGGAGGATTTCAACATTTCTACACGTGGTGGTAATATCCCACATCCATGGCGGTCGTGGGAAGAAAGCCCTTTACCTGATAACGTGAAGGAGGTTATCGCTCAGATTGGTTATAAGGTGAGCGCTAGAAATCCAGAGGGAAATACAAGTACATAGTCCGTAGGTTGAAGCCGGTGCTTGGAGTTTAGTGTGCATGAACTTCCCTTGTTGTATTCTCCTTGTCTACAGTGAACAGCATAGTATTGTATTTTGGAGAACTCGGGAGCTATACATCTGACACCCTGTTTTATTCTATTGCACTTTATGTATCTCTCACCCATATAAATACCTCGCATACCCTACAGGAACCTTCGCCGATTCAACGCCAAGCTCTCCCCGTCGGACTTCAGAATCGCGATATAGTTGGAATCGCTGAAACCGGTACGAAGATTCTTTTTAAGCCACTTGCTTTCAAATTCTGTTAAACACCCATCAAAATAGTCAACGTTGTGAATATTTGTTGAATGTCCACTTGCTTGAACTATACTTGCTTGTATCGCGCGTATCTGCCTGTGCTTAGTTTGGATTCATTGCCTGTTTATCTTCTTTCTACACAGGTTCTGGTAAGACTGCAGCATTTTTGATACCTATGTTAACTTGGATTACTAGTCTACCGCCGCGAGTGCAAAATCCGAATGACGCCTTCGAGTGTGCCCCGTATGCTGTTATTCTCGCGCCCACCCGAGAACTGGCGCAGCAGATTGAGGAAGAGTGTGAGAAATTCGCGAAGCCATTAGGTATCACTGCTGTAGCTATCATCGGAGGTGCGGATATGCAAAACCAGGGTAGCATGCTCAAGGTTGGGGTTGACATTGTCGTGGCCACCCCAGGTCGATTGAAGGATATGCTGGAGAATCGTTACCTGGTGTTGACCAAATGTACTTATGTAGTTATGGACGAAGCAGACAGGATGATTGATATGGGTTTTGAAGCGGAGGTCCAAGCCATTCTGGACTATATGCCGGTGACCAATACGAAACCTGAAGACGATGAAAAGTCAGACGGATTGGAGGCGGATTTCAAGATGGTAGACCTGTCTAACTACATATTGTGTGCTCTTTTCTGCATGTGACTATAATATTCGAAAGCCGCTCGATTTTTGTACCATGGTACCAGTTTTGCCTACGCCCCTTGAGTATTAGCTCCTAGAGCAATGGACTAGACGCCCGCACCATCTTACTTCCGCCCCACTGAGATATATATTTCTGTCCCCCGCACATGATCTCACAGGGTACAGAAACCAAGTTCCGTCAGACGATCATGTTTTCCGCCACAATGCCGCCGTCGGTCGAGCGGTTGTCGCGGAAGTATTTACGTAAACCGGCGCACGTCATTATTGGAACGGCCGGCAAGGCTGTGGACCGGGTCGAGCAACGAGTAGAGATGATGAGTGACTCTAAAAAGCGAAAACGTATCGCAGAAATACTGCAGAGCGGAGACATACCTACGCCCATCATTGTGTTTGTCAACCAAAAGAAAGGTTGCGATATGCTCGCGAAAGGGCTGGATAAGATGGGCTATCGGTCGGTCACGCTACACGGTGGTAAGAACCAGGAGCAGCGTCAATCGGCGTTGCAAGACTTTAAGGATGGGCATGCGGATATCTTGGTTGCTACAGATGTCGCCGGTAGAGGATTGGATGTCAAGGACGTAGGTGGGGTGATCAACTACGATATGGCGAAGAATATACAAGATTATACGCATCGTATCGGACGTACCGGTCGTGCAGGCAAGACGGGTATCGCTATCACATTCTTGACCCCTGAGGACGGCAACACCTACTACGATCTGAAGCAAATGCTGATCGCCTCATCAGGTATGGCTTCACATCTTATTAGCAGAACGGCACTATCCTCACAACTCACAATCTGTAATCTGATTATATTTAAATACTGTTACATTCCTGCGCGTCGCGTATGCGCGTATGAACGTGTGTCTCATTAATCAAACATACTACCCATTTTTTTTTAAATCTTGTTCTTCTTTGGTACAGTGAGTACGTGTCCATCGGCACTGTCCGCACATGCCGAGGCTCAGCATAAACCCGGAACTGTTCTGAATAAACGCAAGAAGGAGGAAACTCTTCTAGTCAAGTAAAATAGCACTTCTCCCGGCAGCACCGCGTCGGAAGCGTCCACATTTCCATAGTCTTCTATTTGCCCAACTAGGAGGCTGTGTAAAATAAACTAAATAGATAGGACACTAGTTTGGAATTTTAGACTGACTGTACTCTTGTGGTAGAATACCATCCTTCAGGTTAGAATCTCTAGACTATACTTCAATTTATTCGACAGCCCGATATGTCCAGGTAAAATAGTCTATATCACCCATATAGCTCACATATAGTTTGTCACTGCACATCGAATGTTGATCCCACGAACTTGTTTCAAGAGTGCAATTACCCGTCACTGTAAACCCATTCATTCGTATAAAATAGAAAAAATAAATACAATAGATTGCATTGGCAATTCTACCTGTCTTTCATGATCCATTATCATTTCGTAATATTTTGTCCTATTGATGCAATACACAACTATATCAAAGCGTCAAAAGGAGAACACTTGTCGGTTTAGTTTGCAAGATAAATAGGTACTTACTTTAATTCACTATGTAACTAATTAACTAACAGTTGTGTAGTTGGTACTTAAATTATCAGCCGCTATGGAATTCATACCCTGTACATTCACATCTACTACTCTCACTAGTCTATATCTACTATTAGAGACCCTCTCTGGAGGGTAATGAATAAAATTCAAAAAATACGTTTACAATATGCTCTATATAT